GCACCGCTGCCGCCTCCTGGCCTCGCTGCTGGTGCTGAAGGAGCTGGCGCCCTGCCTGGCCGCCCCCGCCAGCTACCCGTCTGGCCGGGCCCTGCACGCGTGGGGTGCCACCCCCGCCGGCCACAACAAATGGTCCAAGGTCAAACACGTCAAGGGCCCGCGGGATGCTGAGCGCTGCCGGCTCTTCCAGAAGCTCACCATGCTGCTGCGCTTTGCCGTGAGAGGTACGGGGGGGGGCACAGCCCCTGTGCTTGACACAGCCCCCCAGGACCCCAGGGGTCTGCCACCACCAGAGGGGGCGCTAGTGCCACCCCCGCCGGCCACAACAAATGGTCCAAGGTCAAACACGTCAAGGGCCCGCGGGATGCTGAGCGCTGCCGGCTCTTCCAGAAGCTCACCATGCTGCTGCGCTTTGCCGTGAGAGGTACGGGGGGGGGCACAGCCCCTGTGCTTGACACAGCCCCCCAGGACCCCAGGGGTCTGCCACCACCAGAGGGGGCGCTACAGTCCCTGCCTGCCCAACTTTGACCCCTAGCACTGACTCTGTTGCTCCTAACTCCAGCACCCCTAATCTCTGTTACCTGAGGCCAGCATCCCCCCTGGCTGCTGGAGCAGAAGATGCTGGTCTGTGGGGTAGTGTCTCGCCCCTTCTCATCCTTCCTCCACTGGACCTTTGCTCTGTCCCACAGCACCTCCTCTCAGGTGACTGGGCCCCCCCCCCCAGCAGCTGCTTCACGTAAGAGGGGGGTTCAAGTCACTGTGGTTCATGCGGCCTGGGGTAACAGCTCGTGGTGGCTGAAGAGAGGAAGGGCCTTGGGACAGGTGGTTTGGGGCAGAGAGGGTCACCAAAGGCCTCAGGACGCCTGGGTCCCATTGCCAGCTCTGGAAGGGTGGGTGAGAATCTGGGAGGGGGCTGGAGGTTTATAGCGGTGGGGGCTGGGAGCCAGGACTGCCCTGGAAGGGGATCGCCGCCGTGTCTCCCTGTGACTGCTGCTTTCTGTCCTGCTGCAGAGGGGGGACCCAACCCTGATCTCAACACCAACCTGGCCAACATCATCGAGCAGTGCCGGAGCAAGAGCATGCCCAAAGCCTCCATTGAGGCAGCCATCAAGGGAGTTGTAAGTGGCCGCATCCTGCCAGCCCAGCTCGTGGGACAGAGGGACTCATTGGCCAGGCCCGGCGGTGCCAAGGGCTGTTGGGAGCCTTGAAGGAGGGAGCCAGGCTGGGCTTGTGGCTTGACGAAGGGGAACAGCCAGCAATGTTCCTATATGAATGGGGGGGAGCGGGGGGAGCTTCAGCCCCTCCCTAAAGGGCGCCTGAGGGTTGGGAGTCTTGGGGCTGGGGCACTTCTGGATGGGGAGGGGGCGCACCGAGCCAGCCCCTTTCCTCTGCCTGGTGATTCTGTCTCTTTTCTGTACGGTTTTATGAGAAGCAATCCCATTCCAGGCACATTCTCTTGTCCTGGCACAACCAAACCCTGCCCTTGCTTTAAGTTAGGAGAAGAGGAAGCTGTCTACTGAATTTGGTGGTCCTAGCTCTTACCATTTAGAAGGAATTCTTGAACAGACAGACAAACTCCCTCAAACATACAGTAGATTAATATCTGAGCACAAAGACAGTGTGCGTTACTACTGCCCGGCCAAAGGGGTTTGCTAGTTCAATGAGAAGAGATAGCTAAGCGTGTTGCAGAGTATGGTGGGGTATAACACTCGAGCATGTGCTGGAAGGCTGCCTGCCTCATCTCTCAAGCCATGGTCAAGCAACCAGTTGGGAGGGGCAAGGGAGGACTGGCTGAGAGGCATAGGAAAAGCCTGCACATGCTCACTCCTTAACCCTCCCATGGGATACAAAAGGGGTGGGACGAAGACCCCAGATTTGTGACCCTCCGATACAGAACATGAGCATAAATGGTAAGGGGTAGGAGCAGGGTTGTGCACTGTAGGTCTGGTTGGGCCTGCTAAGGGGGAGGAGGTGGGAATAGGGAACAGGGACATGGATAAAGGCTCTGTGGTGTCAGAGCCATGGTTACGCTGGCTTGAAACTAACCCCAATGCCTGCACTTTGGACCAGGGCAGGGAGTGAAGGGGAAGTGCCCTGGCACCTCCCAAGACATGAGCCCAGCCACAGAGCTGAATCTGCCCCTTCCCGCTGCAGGGCAAAGGGAAGAACTCCTTGTACCTGCTCTACGAAGCCAGAGGCCCTGGCGGGTCTGCGCTGCTCATCGAAGTGCTGACGGACAACGCCAAGCGAGCCTACCAGGAGATCCGGCTCATCCTGAGCCGCAGCGGGTCAGTCCTTCCCTGCTGGGCCCAACGATCCTGCATTTCCTCACACAAGGGCCCTTCCTGTCCGCCATCCAGTGACCAAACCCGACACGTCTGGGTCTTAAAACATGAGTGTTTAGTGGTGGAGATGAACACACTGCAGGAGTGCAAGGGCTGTAGCTGGCTACGGCCTTCTCTGCAGCTTTGCCAGAAGTAGGAGATATGAGAGATGCAGTCTACGTGGGGGCCAAGGCTGTCTACAGGAGGCTGTAATAACTCAACCCCAGGCTTCATTTATCAAAAGCACCCAAGTGGTTTAGGAGCCATAGTCCCATTTTCAAAAGTGATGTGAGGCCTTTTAGGAGCCTACATCTTAGATAATTAATGGGATTCAGGCTCCTATGTCATGTAGATGCTTTGGAAAATGTTAGGGAAATGCTTTGGAAAATGCTGAAGGGAGATGAATTCACGTTGGGAATAAGAGTTTACCAGGGGAGGGAATTGATTCTTGGGACAGCTCCCCTCGGGATGAGGTGGAGTCTCCATCGCTGGGAGTCTGTCAGTGGAGATGGGGCGACCCTTTCTCAGAGCTCCTCTCTAGCTCATCCAGGAGTCCAGGAATCCAGTTTTGGGGGGGGGGAGAGATTCTCTGGTCTGGGTTAGACAAGAGGCAGGGTTGGATGGGCACCATGGCCCTTTGATGAATTCACAGAATCATAGAACCAGACAGGACCTTGAGAGGTCATCAAGTCCAGTCCCCTGCCCTCACAGCAGGACCAAGCACCAGCTAGACCATCCCTGGCAGGCATCTGTCTTCAATACACCGAGAGCCTTCAAGTTCTCTCAGTGAGGCAGATGAATCGTTCTTGTGGCTCTTTGAGCCCTTCCCTGCTCGTCTCCGTCCCGTGCGAGGCATGGAGCCCCTGGACTAGCATCCTGGACTGGTCTCTCATGCTGGATAGACGTGACCCCCTCTCTCTTGGTGTCCCCTTTCTCCCGCGCAGCGCACAGATGTGTGAGGGGGCCCGGCACAGCTTCGACAAGAAGGGGGTGATCACGGTCAGCGGGCGAGACTCGCAGCAGAGGCCCGTGGCCCTGGAGCAGGCCCTGGAGCTGGCGATCGAGGCCGGGGCCCAGGATGTGTGGGAAGAAGAGGATGAGGAGGAGCGGGCGGTTCTGAAGGTGGGTGTGTGACGCGGCTCCCTGACTCACATCGTGGCAGGGCCACGGTGGCCCTTGCCACAGGGCAGACTGCTGGGGGACCGTGGGACTGCAGAGCGGGAGAAAATGGCAGCCAATGGGGGGCAGCCGCCGGCTGATGTAACTGCTCAGGCACCAATCAGGATGTTAATCTGGCTATGGGGCAGGTCTGGTTGGTTCTGAGCCCACTCAGGTGACGGGAGAGATATGTGAGGGTCTGGTGGGTGCAGATCTGCCCAGGGAAGGGAGGAATTCTGGAGAGCTGGCCCTGCTCTGGCCCGGGGAGAGGCAGATACGTGAGGGTCTGGCTGGTGCATCTCTGGCTCGGGGGATTATACACAGGATTGTTGGGAGGGTTCGCTTAGCCTTTGTCCTTGGGAATGCTAGGGAAGCATAAGGAGGTTGGAAAAAGCCTCCCTCGGGGTCTGCCCTGGGCATCACACACTGCTCTGTCCCATTCCCTGCCTCCCCAGGGGGACGGTGTGGGGGAGAGCTGCCCCCAGGCCCTGCATTGCTGCCTCTGTGCCTGGAGTGGGAGGGTAAATCTCTGGGAGCCGCAGGGCAGGCACAGGTTGAATGGGGGTCACACAATGAGGTAGATGGTAGCCAGCACCCGGCATTGAAGAGGCAGGACCCACACTGCATTCAGGGGGCACCCGCACGACTGTGCTGCGGCTGGGGGGGGGCCGCAGGCGAAGCCGCCACCCCCCCCCA